ACCGTTCAGCAAATTGTACAGAAGTCCGAAGAGTACAATCTGCCACTTTGCCTGGCGTATGTGGACTGTGAGAAAGCCTTTGATTCCGTCGAAATTTGGGCGGTGCTACAGTCTCTTCAGCGGTGCCAAGTTGACTGTCGGTGTATTGAAGTGCTGAAGTGTTTGTACAGTAGGGCTACGATGGCTATATGAGTACAGAACCAGAGTACGAAACCTATCAAACTGCAGAGAGGTGTACAGTGTGACGTTATTTCCCCGAAACTCTTCACCGCTGCATTGGAAGACATTTTCAAGATACTGGACTGTAAAGGATACGTAACGTAACATCAATGGCGAGTACATCACTCACCTTTGATTTGCCGACGATATAGTCCTTATGGCAGAATCGCTGGAGGACTTAAGCACTATGCTAAATGACCTCAATAGTGCCTCCCAACGGATAGGTCTTTAGATGAACATGGACAAAACAAATATCATGTTTAATGTCCATGTCACACCTATGCCGGTAGTTGTTGAGAGCACTAAGCTCGAAGTTGTTGACGAGTACGTTTACCTGGGACAAATAGTCCGACTAGGTAAGTCCAACTTCGACCGAGAGGTCAATCGACGGACCTAGATCAGGGAGGGCGAACCAATGGCACGCAGCAAAACATTTTGAGCATGCCACCGATCGACAAAGTACGTAACAAACACTATGAAAAACAAAAGAACGCGACTAAGCCTACGTTACGGAGTGAGTAGACGCGGTGCGTGGAGTTGATATTATTGTTTTTATTATTTTCTCAATAATTACTAGGTCTCAATTATTGGATTGCACATCTATGGCCGCGTTAAACATTTATTTACAAAGAATGGCAAGTTGATCTTTATAGGTTCGTCACCCTGCCATAGATCACAATTTAGGTATCTTAATTTTGACCCCCCGTTTTGTGATATCCCCGAAACTCTTCACCGCTGCATTGGAAGACTTTTTGAAACTACTGGACTGGAAAGGATACGGTATTAACATCAATGGCGAGTACATCACTCACCTTCGATTTGCCGACGATATAGTCCTTATGGCAGAATCGAGGACCTTCGCACTATGCTCAATGACCTCAATGGTGTCTCCCAACGGATAGATCTTAAAATGAACATGGACAAGACAAAGATCATGTTTAATGTTCATGTCTCACCTATGCCGGTAGTTGTTGGGAGCACTATGCTCGAAGTTGTTGACGAGTACGTTTACCTGGGACAAATAGTCCGACTAGGTAAGTCCAACTTCGACCGAGAGGTCAATCGACGGATTCAACTCGGGTGGGCAGCGTTCGGAAAATTACGACGCATCTTCTCGTCAAGTATACCTCAAAACCTGAAAACTAAGTTGTTCAACCAGTGCGTGTTGCCAGTGATGACCTACGGAACCGAGACGTGGTCCTTCACTGCTGGCCGTATGAGGACGCTCAAAGTCGCTCAGCGAGCTATGGAGAGGGCTATGCTCGGAGTTTCTCTGCGTGATAAACTTAGAAATGAGGATATACGCAGTAGAACCAGAGTGACCGACATATCCCAACGGATTAGTAAGCTGAAGTGGCAATGGGCCGGCCATATAGCTCGAAGAACCGACAACTGTTGGGGAAGCAGGGTCCTTGAGTGGCAGCCTCGTACCGGTAGGCGAAGTGTAGGGCGACCCCCCACAAGATGGAGTGATGACCTGGTAAGACATGCAGGAAGTCGATGAATGAAGGTGGCTCAGGACCGTGCTTTGTGGCATACCTTGGGGGTGGCCTATGTTCAGCAGTGGACTTGTGAAGGGCTGTAATGATGATGATGATGAATAACTATTAACACTCCTAGGAACTAAGCTAGCCAAACAAATCAAATCAAATATACACTTTTCTTGTCTTGTTTGGCTAACTTAATAAGTCGGCGAAAAGTTTATTTGTATTTTATATACACATTTTATTTGTATATATATGTGTAGGTAGATGACATATTCCCGTTGCTGTAGAAATTTTGGGATTTTTGATAAAAAATGCAACAAGTAGTTTTGACAGTCCTCTCTTGATGTTAACCTAACACTAGCCAAATAATTCTGAAGAGACCGAAATAGGTGAAAATCTGAGAGTGCAAAGTCAAGACTATATGTTGGATGCATTAACACTTCCCCATCAAGCTCTCTCAATTTATGCTGAGTGGCTTAAGATCTATGTGGTCTAGCGTTATCATGATAAAAGACCACTCTTTTTCTGTTGATCAATTCCGCCCGTTTTTTCTCAATTATTTTCCGTGAGTGTGTTCTGCTTTACTAGTTGTGGGCATTAGAGAGCCGAATCGATGTTTTTGCCCAACTGTTAAAGCACAGCAACACCTTATTGCGTGTTAATCCGGGTTTCGCTACAGTCTCTGGACTTGACTACCCTTTGACCATGATCTTTTTCGCACGATCTTGTCGTAGTCGCACTTTCATCACCGGTGATGAATCTTTGAATAAATGGTTTAGTTTTATTACGTTTCAATAGAAAATCGCAAATGAGTACACGATTCCTTAGGTTTCTTTCCGTGAGTTTTTCAAATGGCTCAAAATTGTTTTGTGGTCAATCTTTTATTCTTCAATATGCTGATCTTGCTCCATTTTCAAAAATGGCATCGACTTTATTCGTATGAAGGCACCAGGCCTTTGACATCGAGTTCCCAGACTGAAAACGCTTGAATCAACTTTGTGCTACTTTTACAGAGAGTGCATTAGGTCCATAAACGTCAAAAAAAATTTTTCGCGGCTTCCGTAGAATTTTTCCTTCTCTGTAATAAAACTTCAGAATGTATCGAATTTCTTCGTTCAATTCACTCATTTTGGCAGACCGAAAAACAATTTAAAAATGGCAGGAAAGTCTTGTTTAGTCTTTCTTTTTCTTTTTCTTAATATCCTATATGTATTTATAATAAAACAATTCAGATACAAACCGTACAACTCAAGATATTTTTCTTCAATTTTATACAAACAAAACACGAAGAAACTTTTCCCCGACCTTTATAAAAACATTCATAGCTGAAGATGATTTCAGTGTTTTCTAAATTATCTGCCTCTCTAGGCAATTATGACAAGCCTGATAGCCTTTCTTGTCTCATAAAGGTACTTAGATAATTTTTATCAGTTTTTATTTCAAAAAACTTCTTTCAGCTGTTGTAGTTGTAACCGGATGTAGAATATGCTATTATTACCTCAGGAAAACAGGTTGCTAAGCTATTGAATTTTAGCAGCAATAATGCTATGAGTAGTAGTAAATAATTATTCATCCTTAATGGAATGAGTTTTCTGAATTTCAGATTTTAATCATGTTTCCAAAGTAATTATTTGTTGAGAAAATTATAAGAAAAGTAATATATATGAATTCCAATAATGCACCCTCTAACCAACTATTTATTTACCCCTGAAATAGAGGTATAATATCCTAGTTTAGGGGCTAATGAACACTTTAAATTTTGCGCATGTAATATGTTTATCAATAAATATAATTATTTCTTTTGGTATATTACCATAATTTTCTGTTACCGAGATGTATCGAAAACAGAAAATTATGGTAATATACCAACTAAAACTACAGAAAATTGGTCAATTTTTGACAGGTCTTTTTCTTTAGGAATGTTGGGCACTATTTGGTGATATGATTTTTTTCTCGGGAAGTACGGCCTAAGAGATTGTGGATAAATTTTAGGAATTTTTGCTTACAGACGGTCGGGGCCCAGTATCATTGATATGGCTGATACGGCGTGCTGTAAATTATATTTATTTTAAAATCGCTTATTTTTCGCTTCATGAACTATGCTGGCAATACTTGGTATTTTACGAAAATATTCAGAAAATACGAGTTTTAACGATAATATTATAATGATTTCTTATATTTACGCGAACACTATACATTGATTAAAACTACTTTTACGGATTTTATCGCGTTTTATTTATATTAATTTTAATACCCGACGTTTCGGGTGCTTTCCAGCACCCATGGTCCCCCGTGACCAGATATATTGACAATCCCGTAAAAGTAGTTTTAATCAACGATAATATTATGTTAAAAGTATTCACAAATGAAGTCACGCGTAGTGATGCTTTTGTAGATTTGACGGTTTTCGTTGTTTTTTGCATGAAAATACACTGTAATTTGGCATTTTTGCCAGAGCTCAATTGACTGGCACGATCACTTGCGTAATGGCGCACGACGCGGACCAATTAGTTTCGTATAAAGGCTATGAGTCGGATTCTCGTACCTTTTACAGATGGGTATGCCTTGCGATGCCGTCTTCTTTGGTTTATTATTCAAAGAAAATTATTATTATAAACCATTGTTTACATCTAGTATTTTTTACATCTGGCAGCACAGGCTGATTGTCAAACTCAAATGAAAAAAAGGCGGGAAGTCAAGTTAAGCGGGTGTTTTAATTCTTGCTGAATTTTCATTTCATTTTATTTTGTATATATTTTGTAAATTTCCGTGTAAATAGTTAATTAGTACATACCTATATATAGTGTAAATACAATGGATCCAGATTCCGACGGGGGCCCGACCCCCACCGAGCAAAAAATCAAAGAAAAGGAAATTGCCCGATACTCGCAAAGGAAATGCCGTCAACTACAAAATTTTCACAAAAACAAATTACACGCGACAATTCCCAGAAAACCACAGCGTAGACTGCGTAGTCTACGTTGAATCACAAGAAAGCGAAAAAAATTGGTAACAAAAATCCAATAACACTTACAAAGTTATTTACGGAAAATGTAAAAGGAATCGCTGGCGTCCACAGAGTGAACGCATATAAAGTGGGCATAATGTTCAGAAAACCAGCACCGGCCAATAACTTCCTTACCATGACACACTTTCTGGGAAAACACAAATTAAAAGCATTTGTGCCTCACTGAAATTACTGGAGTCATAAGATACGTACCTAAAGACTTAAGCAATGAAGACATATACAAAAGCATTACCTGCGATGCAGAAGTCATCTCCGTCAAGAGATTTATGCGAAAGGTAGATGGAAAGCTCACTCCGCTGGGGACCATTGCAGTGACCTTCGCTGCGACAGCGCTGCCGCAGCACGCCTACATACAGATGTTCAGATACCCGGTCCACATATACATCCCTCCATTACTACAGTGCTACAAATGCCTGAAGTTTAATCACTCTGCGAAAGTCTGCCGAGGTTCTCAAATGTGTTCTTCGTGCTCCGGACAACACTCCTACAAAGAATGCGACGTCGAAAAAATTGTGTGCATCAACTGTCAAGGTGGTCACTTAGCCATCTCTAGGGACTGTCCAGTGAAGCAACAAAAGATGGAAGAGAAGAAGAATAAGTATTTAAAACCAAACCGATCCTACGCCGCTGTGGTGAGTATCCCAGCAATGCCCGACCCGAGAGCATTCCCAAACCTTAAACCTGTAAAGACTATTGATACTGACATAAATAAAGTACCATATAATGCTGAGCAAATACTAAACAACGAGTTAATTATTAATGCGCTAGTCAAATCATTAGTTATGCTTGGCAATGACAAGAGCAGCGCTCCGATTACAAATAAAAGAATTAAAGACATACTTTTAAGTAATTTAATACCATAATGGATACATATGTAATAGTGGAGATGAACTGTCCACTATTAACAGACTCCGAGTGGTTTTCTTTAAGGTGGAGAAATGAAACTACTGTTGATGTTTATGAATGTACTGTCGAATGGGATTCGGAATGGAATATCTTTTGCATCAACCTTGCCTATATTTATATGGCTGGCTCACTATTGATTTGCCAATGGTAACAATTAATATTTTGCCTAGCCAATTATATTGCTTATTTTATGACCAATGAAAACTATTTAAAATATACAATTATCTACGTTTCGTTTCCCGGCGTGAGACTTGTTTGTTGTTCACGAAGCTACGTCGCTGGACCGGGCTATATAAGACATGCAGATCGGTGCGCACGCGTAGTCGGCGGGCGGCGGCGGTGTGGAATACAGCTCCGGAACAGCAAGAGGAAACGAACTGCGGCGTTGAAGAAACGGCTCACCATTGGTCGACGGATACGTGACGATAGCGGCGTGTGAAGTCGGTGTGGCGCCGAATGATATTTGCGGCTGCTTCTTGTTTCTTTATAAGAACGTCAAATTATCCATATACAGTCCGCAGTATCTCAGTAGCCAAGAATAATTAGGAAATAAAATGTTTTTTTATTTATTCTCGCCTTCCGCGTTATGGTAGCAGCGGAGTATATATTATTTATTCCCGTTTCGGTTTGATTAATCTGGCTGCTACACATATTTGAATATAGCACAATATAACATACAGAGCTTACAGAACAAAAGGGCCTTACTTAAAAAATTTCTTTCAGAACAACATATAGATATCTGTCTTTTAAATGAAACCTGGCTTAAAACAACTAGTACAATTCCCGATTTTTCACCCTATAATTTTATACACAAAAACTCAATAAATGAACATAATGGAGTAGGTATATTAATTAAACAAAACTTAAAATACACTATTGTAAATACAACTTTTTTCGAATCTGTGCAAAATATTTGCATTTCCTTAGACACAACTATGGGTAAGTTACATATTCTATGTGTATATTGTCCTCCCAATAGCAGCAGGTTTACTACTAGCAAAATGAAAAAGGTGCTACTTGAAACTCCTAAGCCATGTCTTATTATGGGAGATTTTAATGCGCACCATATCCTGTTTGGATGTCGGACAAATAATAATAGAGGTAACAGTTTATATGCACTTATTGATGACTTTGACTTGTGTATTCTGAATGATGGTGACACAGCTACAACTGTCCAGTATCCTAACAGAAATAAGTCGGCAATAGATTTAGCTCTGGTTAGTTCTGCGTTAACTCCTCTTTGTGAATGGCACGTCCATGACGACCCGATGGGCAGTTACCACTACCCAACTGTGGTCGCTCTAAATGTGAAGCCTTCTATATATGAAGTGCGTCCTGTGGAAGAAAAATACATTTATAATAAAGCAGATTGGTCTAAATATCAAGAACTATCAGAAACGAGATTTTGTAATTTAGAAATACATGGTACAGAACCTATTGATTTGTATAATAATTTTGTAAATATTTTGTATGATATTAGAGCAGAGACTGTTCCAAAGCAAACACCACAACAAACTTTAAAGGTAATGAGAAAACCTGCACCCTGGTGGAACCAAACATGTGATGATGCTGTTCGAAAGTCTAAGGAGGCCCTCAAAGAGTATAGAAAATCGCCTAGTATTCCTAATTTCATTAACTACAAAAAACTTGATGCTCAAAAGAAAAGGATATTAAAAGAAGAAAGTATTAATTCATGGCACAATTTATGTACTAGTTTTAATAGAATGACACCTATTTCTCGAATATGGAACTACATGAAAAGGTTTAGAAGGATAGGTTCTTCTCATAACAGATATTTGGCTGACGATTGGATACCAAGCTTCTTAGACAACATAACAGACTCATCGCAGTTGAATGAAGATTATTTGAATGATATTTTAGATCAATCTGTTGAAAATGAAAGTAACTCGTTTCTCAATATACCATTCACACTAAATGAATTGTACATAGCACTCAAAAGTAGGAAAGATACAACACCAGGGTTGGACAGCATACCATATATGTTAATAAAAAAATTACATCCTAATGCACAAGAAATGTTATTAAATATTTATAATAAACTTTGGAATAATTTAGCTATACCAGAGTCATGGAAAACCTAATGTGTAATCCCCATTTTAAAGCCAAATAAAGCTGCTAATGATCCATCATCATACAGACCTATTTCTTTGTCATTATGTTTAGGTAAGCTTTTTGAAAACATGTTAAAGTTGCGTCTAGATTATTTTGCTGAAACACAGGATAAACTACCTCACATACAATTTGGATTCAGAAAAGGCAGAAGTTGCTCTGAAAGCTTTGTATCTCTGATATCGGAACTTAAAAAGGCCAAACTTAGCCATTCTAATGTTATATGTGTATTTTTAGATGTTAAAGGTGCCTTTGACAATGTTAATATTGAATGCCTCATAAAAGTTTTGCATGAATTGGGCTTGCCAAGAAATGTATTAATCTGGATTTTAAATTTCTTGCATGATAGGACTCTTTTTGTTAAATTTAACAATAAACTACATGGACCTAGGCCTGTTAACAAAGGAACAATGCAGGGAGCGACACTTTCACCTTTGTTGTATAATTTATACACATCTCAGATACTTAATTATGTAGATACATCACAAGTTAAAATATTACAGTTTGCAGACGACATACTTTTATACAGTGAAAACCAGAATATAAATACAGCAATTAATAGAATTAATACTGCATTGGCACAATTGCATCATTATTATAGCAACATTTTAAAATTAGAAATAAGTTCTGAGAAAAGTAAAGTTTTAGTATTCAGTAAAGACACATTTGTAAACTCTGGAATTAAAATTAACTATAATAATGATGCAATTCCTATAGCCAATCATCATAAATTTTTAGGAGTTGTGCTAGATGATAAACTGAAATTTGATAAGCATATCAACTATATCTGTCAGAATGCCATGAAGAGCATAAATGTACTAAGAAGCTTAGCAGGAACCTTTTGGGGGTCTGATCCAAAAACACTTAGCATGCTGTATAAAAGTATTGTAAGGAGTCACTTTGACTATAGCTCTCTAGCTTACATGAATATTAGTAGCACATTGTTAAGAAAATTGGATGTGATACAAAATATGGGTCTGAGAATAATCAGTGGAGCCATGCGCACCACTCCTATTGTTTCTATGGAAGTTGAAAATTGCATACCTCCATTGTCCTTGCGGCGTTTGCAGTTGGCTGAAAGATTCTGTTTGAAGGAGTTGTCTTGTAGCAATGATATTGTCCTGAGTAATGTTTTATATCCTGCAGAAGTCTCCCAGTTAATTGGAACAGCCAACATCTCGGCTAATACTCTTATTTCGGGTACATTGCCTGAATTAACAACAATAACAACTTGTGTAAAAAATCAGACAAGAGATATGTACATCAGTAACAAGTGGCCTGTTTACAAATGCCCATATGATACATTACTTAATTATCTTGATATAAAATGTCATTTAGATTCGGGTAGTACTAAGAATGAATTCTTAGAATTTTTAAATGAAAAGAAAGACTTCTACACTATATATACTGATGGCTCCAAGAGTGATCTTGTTAAAGCAGCATTTTATGACTCACAAATGAAAGTTATTAAATGTATGAAGTTGCCAAGTAATTGTAGTATTTTTACAGCAGAAAGTTGGGCTATATTAGCTGCTTTGTCATATGTAAATACCAATGTAAATAGTGTAAATATCTTGATAGTTAGTGATTCTAAAAGTGTTTTATCTGCTTTATGTAACTGTAATTTAGTATATAAACAGAATTATATTTTGTATAAAATTAAGGATAAGCTGCAAACGATTGGAAAATGTATAGAATTCTTATGGGTTCCCTCACACAGTGGCATAGTCGGAAATGAGATAGTGGATCAGGCGACGCGGCAAGATCACCACGAAGACCAAACACAAGATTGTAAAGTCCCCTTCACAGATTATTATCAACACTTTAAAATCTTGTCAAAGAAACTGTGGAAGGATTACTGGAACATTACTACCGTGAATAAGGGAAAATGGTACGCAGAATTACAGCCAGACTTACCAACGATTCCGTGGTACAACCGCCTTAAATACACAGGCCGAAAGTTCATAACGATCATTAACCGCTTGCGGTTTGGCCATTGCCTCGTCCCTGCACATCTGTACAGAATGAAGATCGTAGCTGATGACAAATGCACACATTGCGCTCAACATAATGCAGACATAAACCACATAATTTTCCAGTGCCTGCCAGTGCCCATCGTTTGGGATTCAAAGGTTGACACTTGTCAGTAGGAGTGGTCGTTACAAAACGTAACTAGTTACTGAAACTATCTATTCACACAATAGCGGGTAACGGGTTATTGCAGTGCAACGAAACTATCTATTACAGTAGACGTTTTACTCAGTAACATGATTCACGTTTCACGAATCACGAACGAGCGATCAGTAACAAAACGTTTATTCGGCTATTTCCGCGACGCACCGGCGACGGCTTCGGCTGTTGAAGTAGAAGCACATGAGTAGACTTTAATACCTGTAGAATGGAGTAGATGGCGGCGGAAAATATTCTATAAAAACATCAATACATGTATTCATTTGATTTATTACATAAAAATGTAGGCTTGAGATGGCTAAAAATAAGCATTGTATTGTAATAATTATTTGCTATAAAATCAAACTTACATATATTCAATATTTTATGCTGAACTTGTGGGTGAATTTATCATAATCATAATTATTAAATAAATCGTTTGCCATTAAATCATTTCAAGTGATATTTTTATCAAACCGTGCGAAATGATTTAACAAATAAATAAATTTAACCATTAACACCATGTCTAATTCTATACGAAACGGTAACAAACAAGTTTTCTCGTGATACGGACATCGTTTCATTCGCAACGTTTTTCAATTAAACACGTCGTGAAACACTCTATTGAAGCCGTTATTAAAATAGAGTGTTTCAAAACCCTCTATTAAAATAGAGTGTTTCAAAAGCCGCTATTGATATTCGATAGATAGTTTCGTTTCGTTCCTCAAAAATGCCGCTACTACCCACCGCTACTTGTCAGTGAAATTAGTGATGTCGCTGAAGAAAATTCTATGTGTTCCCCGCCGCGTTCAGGATCTATTAACTAATGTAGTTTTTTTCATGCCTCTATTTAAATTTATACTTAATACTGTAGGAAAACTTTAATTATTTATGTGTCCTTAGTTAATTGATAATGTTTGTAAATAGCTTCTTAGTTCATTTTGTAATTTAGTCTGTTCTATATTTATATAATAGGAAAAAAAGTAGAAAAATGATGGAAAACCATTCTAAATTGTTATTGCTAAAGTTAAATATTCTTGATTTGATGTATGATTTGTGTTATAAGTACTGTAATGTTTTCGACTGAAGGTCCTCGCAACCATGGTCACGAATAAATTAAAAAAAAAAAAAAGTCAAACTCAAATTGTCAATATATCTGCATCGTAGTTTGTTTTCGGTTCAACTCTTAAATACAAAATAAATATAAGAGGAAGAGTTAAAACTTATGGGTTGCATAACTTGTGAAATCCAGCCTTTTACTGCTTACAATAATTAATAAGATGGAGGGCTGTGAAAATGAAAACGAACAAAATAGGAACAAGGTTAGTAATTTATACCTTGATTATTTTATCGTAAAATTTTCTTTAAAATACTACCTAGATATGTTCCTGGCGCGTTGATAAATGTTCGGAATGTTAACGTTTTGACGATATGCTACCATCATTATGGTTTCTGTAGAAATAGTGGGTTTAAAAACTAAAATATTAATTCAGGATCGAAGTCCATCACCGGGAATCAAATCAACAGCTGTGGTGAAGTACACAGCATTCCAGAGCCCGGTAGGATATGCTCGGTTGCAGTGCAATACGGACCTGAATCTGCCCCCCCTCAAACTGGGGAGCAGCCATTGATTCGTATGGGTTGAAACAAATATTGACTAGAGGAACTGGCTTATCAAGGTAAATCTTAATTTAGTTTTACACTCATCAAACTCAGCCTCATTTGAAATGGGTTTGGTAATTTTTTTTATAGGAAAAGGGTGACAAGCGAGCACACAGTCCACCTGATGGTAAATGGTTGCTGTGGCCCATAGACAATGAAGATGCGTTGTCAGCCTTGAGGACTAAGATTGAATCCATTAAGCTGCTATTTGACGCTGGTATTCTGTGAGAGAGTGGTTCTTCCCCGTTCGAGCCGACCTATTCGTGCTACAACTATACAATTAATATAGCTGCAGCATGGCTCTACCACGTAAGAAAAGTAACAGAAAAATAAATTGCAAAAGAGGGGATCTCTTTTCTTTAAATGTTCAAGTCAGGTGTAATCAATCAATTAGACTTTTCTATGTAGTCCTTTTATAAGCACTTATTTAATATCAAATATGTATGCTTTTACAGCTTCAGAATGGCGCATATGTTTCCTGACTGTGTTGGAGAAGTGGATGTGATATCTGATGCAGAGTGCATTAAAAAATTACTGAAATTACCCTATCAGCCTAATGGTACAGTAAGTATCTATATTATTAATATGTGAAAGGAAAAATTTGTACACATTTTTAAGCATATTGTGGACTTGAAAGATTGTGAGATTAGGTAGTGGCAGTGAAGTTAAAGCTCATATTATGGATGAGTGCATAAAGCTAAAACTTATACATATTACTATATACTTATACACATACTATTATATATATATATATATATATATATATATATATATATATATATATATATATATATATATATATATATATATATATATGTGTTACTATACATTATATAAAATACAATAAAACAAAGTTGTTAAGAATTAATTTGCACACATCTGCTTAATAAAATAAAACGATGTGTCTTACCTAGTATGAAGAGCACCTCCTGCCCTATAAAAAAAATCATTGCTTAAGTTCATGTTGCCAATGTTGGAACACATTATTAGTCTGTGGTCAAACAGGTGCACAGGGTAGAGATAATTACTACTTAATGTGATTTCAAATATTCTTTTTTCAATTTTTTGTTTTCTAGTTTATTGTAATTTTTGTATTGGAGATATTTAGGTATTAATGTGTAGTTGAAATTAAAATATACATACATAAAATACATAAACACTCACGCCTGTCACCCAGAGGGGTAGGCAGAGACTATAGACTTCCATTTGGCATGATCCTGAAACACCTCTCTCGCCTCCTTCACATCCATATACCTATGCATACATGCTCGTCGGTTAAGGGTACTCCTAATTTGGCCCGTTTTCAATAAATCGCCAATTTGGTCGATAAATTTTCGCCTACGACGTCCCTTTCCGACTCTGCCATTCACTTCTGCAACATAAATTTTCTTTGTCACTCTTTCCTCATTCATTCTTTCCACATGACCAAACCACCGAAGCATTCCTTTCTTAATCCTGGTCACAACGTCATTTTGCAAACCACACTCTTCTCTTATCACACAATTTCTCACCCTGTCATTCAGATTCAGCCCTAACATACTCCTTAACAACCGCATTTCTACTGCATTCGTTCTACTCTCGTGCTTCTTCTGCCACACCCAACTTTCACTACCATACGTTAAAGTAGGTACCAACACAGCATTGTGAATTGCCATGCATGCCTTTCTCGACACATTTTGACTCTTCACAATAGAGTGCAGGGCCCCATTTACTTTATTTCCCACATTCACTCGTCATTCTATATCCTTATCATATCTCCCATCCCTGCTAAATATGCAACCCAAATATACAAACTCATCTTCTTGCTCGATCAACTCCCCTTCTATTCTTATTACACAAATCGTTTTACTTTCTTCTCTTTCAAAAACCAAATTTAAATATAACAAAAAATTAAAATATAACTTAATATACAAATATATAAATGTAATGAAATACAGTTGAATATTTAGCACTATAGTCAACCAAATTTAAGAAATACATTTTGACAGTAGTCAGACTTATTGCACCAAGCATGCCTACCAAAAAATTGGAATATACAATATTCGATTCTTAAAAAAATCAATATCGATTATTTAGAGTTGGTAATCAGTTACAGTTTGGTTTGAATAATACCAGAATAAATAAGAAACAAATAATTTAAAACACAAGATTTATCAGTTTCTTCGTATTTGTTGTCACTGCTTATTTCTAGGGGCAAAGTTATAAAAATTTAAGAGTGAAACTAGATTAAAAATAAATTTATTCAATCACTTTCAGTACAACTAGTTGAGCTGTCGTTGTTTAGATTAATTATTATTTGATTTTCAATGATGCAGTCAAATTTAATAGCTCAATCAAAGTCATCCATAATCAATTTTTTTGTTTTTTCCACCACATTTGCCCAATCATACATGGACACATGCTTCTACGAATATAGAAGAAACAGTCCAAAAAGTTAAAGCCGAGTCTCAAAATAAAAAGTCAATCACAAAATCACAAAATTACGCACATTAAGCTCCCGAAATGGCGGGAGATTGAAATTACGTAGTGGTCTTTTCAGCACGACCTTGTATATGTATATGTATGAGTTTTTTTACCTACACAAAAACGAAATTTGTACGTTGATAAAGTAAAAAAAAATAAAATTGTTTTATTCATGATTCATGTAATTTAAGGAATTTTAAAAATAAAATATTTATTAAACAACAACTATGGTAAGGTACGTAGCGACATATCATTGAAACGACGTTAAGTAAAAGGGTTGATATTGGTTATTTTTTTAATATTTTGCTTTGTTAGAAAGATTCGAATTTAAATTAGTGATAAAAAACTATACACTTTGTAATGAAATATAAATAACTTCATAATTCTTCGGATTAAGTAAAAGATTATTTTAAATTGTGTGAGTATGTTTGTGAAAAGTTATTGCGGAATGATTAATGTGAAATGTCAAAGGGTATTAGATTTGGTTGCCTGTAGTTATTATAGAAATGTATATGAAAATCGTAAAATTTGAATTGGAAATATTTCTGCATCAGCCTAAAAATAGACACTTGTTAAAAATGTCCTCTTTCTTAGTAGGATTTTGAAATTAAAGTAGGAATAAAGATAATACTATCGTTATTCCCATTTTAATTTCAAAATTGCATTACTAGATGTCACGGATATTAGATTCTGCTTCCTGTCACTGTGTAATGAATAGTTATTTTACACAGACACCAAGACGGTTATTTAGAATTCATCAAAAGCTACAAGATATTCTGGTAATTTCTTTAAATTGTCAAATAAATTAAGTTAAAAAAAAATATACTCATGAAAGATTTTTACCATACAAAGAGAATCACTAGGATTTATTCATGTTTTGCTTAAAAGAAGATGTTTGGTAAGAATGTGCCGGGCCTGAAATAGTAATAATATAAATAATAATGGGTGATGGAATTAAATAGAATGCACAAATGGCCACTGCCTGGAGGTCGCCAGGGCGCGTCTGGAGCTGGCGCTGGACGCGACAGCATGCGAACCGCCAGCCGAGCGTGAGGTGCTGCACGAACACCCAGCAGCCCCTCGCATCCATCATCCCCACCAGCTGGTTTGGTGTCGGCAGTGTCTTCGCGGGCCGGGCAGCAATCGGCATCCGCCACTGGTGGAGTATGCCGCGTGCGTTGGATGAACAGCAACGCATTGCGGGCGTATTTTAGGGCGAAAGGCGGAGAAACTGGAGGTTTTGCGTATCGGGCAAGGATGCATCGACTTTTTGCTGAGCTGGAGCCATCTGTAACCGTCACCGAGCAAAACCTGGCAGACCGAGTTCGGTATATGTTGCGCTCAAATACATTTGATGTCACCCAACTCGAACGGCTATGACGTGAGGCTGTTCCTTCATCGGGTGAAAATGCTACAGCTGAGGATGCGGCGCCACTACTTGCTGAGCTAACGGCAAACGTGGATGCCGCCATGAATACCCCAGTTGTGGTTGATTCAAACGATGATGGAACAGTCGCCCTGCCGGGCTAGCATGAGCCGGAGAGAATATATCCCCGGAGAGAGGATATAATTTTACCTCTTGCTTAGTTTTATCCACCCTGCGAGCATGAGCAAGAGACAAAAATTATATCTCCCGATTATATCCACTGACAAGAGATAAAATTATCTTATCTCTATAGTATATCCCCGTTTGACATAACGAGTAGACATATATCTCCCCGTCCGTAGCATGAGGCCAAGGGAAAGAGAAAAAATTATCCCTTTTTGACCATTGAAAGGGACAATTTTATCCTCTTTCGCGGACGTGGGTTTAAGTTTATCTTCAAACCATTTTAATACGAAAAAGATGTCTCGAGCCTATTGCAACTACATTTTCGTGTCAGAAATTGAAAAACAAGAAAGAAAATTACACCAGCGATGGATACGTGATCAGAATACTTAATCTATTGGAATTCTCCGACAACGAATTTCTACGCCGGTTTCGGATGCTCAAATATTGTTTTGTATTTGTGTAAAGAACTCTATGAGGCTTTAAAGCCTATTACTTCTGTGGATGGACTACCAGTACATATTGAAGTAAGCATCTATTACAACCACCTTGTCCAAAAACATCGTATATTTGCAATCAATACATGTGGCTTATGTAACTTATCTTAATATTTTTTCTAGGTAGGTAGTTTACATCCTTCAGTCTCTTGGCAGAAGGTAGTTACCTACTAGAGAGGTACGATTCAAGACCATGGCATGGCTGTTGTTCAAACAACAAATAATCAGCAAATACTTGCCCTAAATTATTGGAGCCATCATTAGAATGTGTGGAGCAATATACTTTAATTAGCCTCTTGTGTAGGTAAATACAAGTTTAAAGACTAATATACATAATACTAGGAATACAAATAACACAATACTCATGATTATAAAATTATTTATTCCTTGTTTTGTTTGTAATCATTACATTTTTATTCTTCATGTTTCGTCATTTTCAATTAAAATTAAATCTTTGTGACTTAGAGTAGACATCAATTTTGATGTATTTTGTAATTTTCTTATAATGGCAGTAATTGCGGGGATAATTTTTTTTTAATTTCCTCAAGAGGTTACACCACCTCCAAAGGGTCTGTATCGTCCAGTTTCGCAATTGGCTTAATTCTAGACACATATTTTTTTAATAAATGCTATCACAAGCGAAGTAATACCTGCGATTTGATACAAGCAATGTATACTTAACTTAAATATTATACAAAAGAAAATAAAGAAAGAATTAGAATAATAGAAAAAATAAAAACAAGGCAGAAATACGCTTAAAATAAATATAACAAATATTATAAATGACATATTGTTTAACAAAAATTAATAACAGTTTAGCAACATAATAAACAAAAGGTAAAAGAAAATATAAGTTAATGTAAATCTACTTAACCTTAAAAGAAGTTTATAGCTAGTATAGTTTATGGCTTTATACTATCGTACAAAGATGTTTTATAAAACATCTTTGCTATGGTATATTATCTATGCGCGGGGATAAGTTTATCTACTGTCGATATTATATCCACCATAGGCCCATGCTCGCAGGGTGGATAAAGCTTTGACATAGGGATAAG